AGCCCCAAGATCTCATGTTAATATTAAAACATAAACAGCGTTTAAAGTCCCACAGTCTTTAAAAATTCAAACACTTTAAAAGTTAAAATTCTCTTTATTGTGGGATCCCGTAAAATCTAAAACAAGTCAAATACTGCTGTTGAATTGTAAAAGGGAAGAATCAAGCACACTTAAGCAAAACCAAAGTCCGGAAAAGTAACTCAAGGCTGGACATCTGGGATACACTTACGATCTTTTGGGCTCTAAAGGGCTTGGGCAGCTCCACTTCTCTGGCTCTGCCACAGCACACACAGTTTGTCTGATAGGCTCAGGCCAGCTCCACTCTGCACCTGTTGCTGCGCTTGGTGGTGGTCCCACTGTCCTGGCATCTCCAATATGCTGGGGTCTCCATTGCAACTGAAGCTGCACCTTCACCAAAGGCCTCTTCTGGTTTCACACAATGTCAAGCCTCAGATGCTCTCTGTGACCCCTTCATGCCTTCAAAACTAGTACCGTGTAGGAGACTCTTACATATTAACTCCTGCTTCCAGCTTGAGAAAAAGCCTTGGGTATCCTCTGGACCACAGCTGCTGTGTGCTGACCCTGAGAAAATTCTTCCTAGAAGATGTCATGCCTCTGTGATGTCGGTTTCTTGTTACTCACGGCTGATTTTCAGCCTCAGCTAACCAGCATCAATTGTCCCAGTAAAGCACAAAAATTCTTAATTCCACACAAACAGCCCTGATAGAGTCTTTGCTTCCCTTTGAAGCTTCACGAGCCAGGCCTTCATTGGCTATACCTCTTTCAGCATTTTCTTCCAAGTTCCTACAGAATAGCTCACTGAGTTCCAATCAATTTTCTGGTTCAAAGCTCCCAAAACTTCCACAATCCTCCCAGTTATGGTCAGGTCCATCACAGCAATACCCCCACAATTCTGCTACCAATTTCTGTTTTAGTTTTTTTTCTATTTCTGTGATTAAAAACACTGAACAAGATCAATGTGGGGAGGAAAAGGTTTATTTTGCTTACAGTTCACAGTCTATCATCAAGGGAAGCCAAGACAAGAGCTCAGAACAGAAACCTGGGGCACAGACCATGGAGGTATACTTCTTTCTGCCTTGCTCCCCTGGTCTGTGATCAGTCTGCTTTCTTATAGAACACTGGACCACCTGCCCAGGGATGACAGTGCCCACATGGGGCTGGGCCTTCCCACATGACTCAACAATCAAGAAATTGCCCCACAGACACGTTCACAAAGCCAATCCAATAGAAGCAATTCCCCAGTTGAGATTCCCTTTTCTTAGGTATGTCAAGCTAACAGCTAAAGCTATCCAGCACAATAGCTCAAAGGTAGAGCTCTTGTCTAGCACATGTGAGGCCCTTAGTTTCATTCCCTATACTGGGAAAGAAAAAATAAGTTGTGAAAGAAGGTCATTAAAAGTTAACACCTGTTTCACACATTAACTTTAACCTACTCCATAAGATAAAATACACGCTTGATTTTGTTACAGATGATCGGTTTACTGGTGTCAGGAGAGGAGAACTGAGGTAAAAATATTACTTTTTCATATTCCTTGAGGGAAAACAATCTTCTAGAGGGCTTTTAGTTACCACTAGACTACAGTTCCCTCTTTTATTTTTTACTTTTTGGAGTTTTTGAGACATAATCTCACTCTTCAGCCTAGCCAACCTGGAACTCTATACCTAAGGCAGGACTTGAACCCATTACAATCCTCCTGCCTCAGCCTCCTAAGTGCTTGGATTACAGGCGTAAGCCACCACACCCAGCTTGTAAATCTGTCTGTACCAGGACACTACTGTTTGTTATCTTAAAGCATAACTACTCACCCAGAACACTCGTAATAAAGTAATTCTTTCATCTAGATTCTTTATTTTTATTTTTCTACATTTATCTATTTTGTGTGTCTGTCTCTGTCTGTGTCTGTGTGTCTGCCTGCCTGCATCTGTGTGTCACAGTGTGCATGTGGAGGTCAGAGGACAATGTGTGGGAATCCGTTCTCTCTTTCACCATGTGGCTCACAAAAATGGAGCTCAAGTCATGGTACCAAACACGCTTACCTGCTGAGCCATGTCTCTTAATCCTAGTTTCTTTCTATTACTCTTTAGGAATGAGGATTGCTTATGTAAATTTCACAGATATCTAGTCATTTATTTTCAGAATTTTTCTTGCACTTGAAATAATGAAAGGATGAGTAGTGGGAGATGTAAATGCAGCATGGAGTGGGTAAATATTTCTACATCACAAGCCTTGATTGTTACCTTAACGTGGAATCAAGAACCTAGGCTTTTGGGGTTTGGGGCTTGCAGACATTCTGCCCAAGAGCAAAATCTTACTTTTTCTGTAAAAGATAAGGCTAAGCCAGGCATACTGTGAAATTGAGACATGACCAGAGAAATCTCAGGGCAGGAAGATTCAATCAATCAATCAGTCAGTCAGTCAATCAATCTATCAATCATTTATCCTCTCTCTGTCTCTGTCTCTCTGTCTCTGTCTCTGTCTCTGTCTCACACCACACACACACACACACACACACACACACACACACACACACATGACTTCCCACCCTGGGTATGTGTTGTGTCAAGTCCTAGAAAATGACACTGAAAAGGTATTTTCTTACATCCTTTGTACTCATTGGAAGGAAACGTCTCCTCAATTGTGACTAGTGCACAGTGAATGATTTGATCTAAATCATCCAGTTACATTGAATATTTACATCCTTTGTATTCCCAAGAGAACTGGGTGCAATATTTAGCATTGGCTATATGCTCAGCAAATCATAATATACAGCATAGGGTTGATATTCAGTAAACATTTCTAGAAAGATCAAATGTAGAGTGAATTAGTAAATTAGCAATAAAGCAGGCATTTCTACTAGGTTTTATAAAAAGCTTGTGGCCAGCTTTTGGCATCATAGGTCATGCCTCCAAATCTGGCAGAAGTTCTAGGAGTTTTATGTCTACCTGTGCTTTGAGATCATCAGCTAGCTGAGTGTGTTGTGCTAGTAGCAGGTCAAGCAAACCTGACTGATTTGAGTTTATAGAAAAAAAAATAGATAAAAGCACGTTGGCTTGTTTAATTTTGAAATATACTTGTCATCTGTAGGTTTTGATTCTGGTTTGGGGATAGCAAGGAATAGACATGTCAGTACACTGAAGTGTACTTTAGGCTGCAGAGAATAGCACATAGTGGCTCTTGTACAATCAATATATTTTAGTTTAAGATCTCTTAAACCCCACCAAAGGAAGCTCCAACAGATTTGCATAATGAGACAGAATGAAGAAGGTGGCTTAAGTTTAGAGTGTACTGAAGAAGTGGTTAGACAGCTCATCTGTCCATCAGCAAAGATGGTCTGTAATAATTGTTTTCCACGCTCACTGGGCTTGAAGTTGTTTCCTTTACTTGAGAATGAAATGTATGTCAAACTGTTAGGCACAAAAAATACAGACATCTTTTGGTGAACACATCCCTTGACTGTATGAATAAAGAGAAGAAATGCCAGGAGGATGTTAGATTATCTCTGTTACCGTTAGAAAGAAGGGGCAACAAATTTGGGAGGACAGTGTCTCGCTACACAGCTTGAGCTATCCTGGAACTTGCAATCCATCATGCCTGGTGACACTTCTTTTTTTCTAAGTACAGGTGACCTGGGATTATAGGAATTCTGAATGTAGATGAAAAATGGTTCTTAACTTGTAGGTTCTATTGAGTCTTTCAACAAAATGAAGATGGATTAAGACTTTTCTGGAGAGAAATATTGTTTAATGCCTTACTTAGCATCCACAGTAGAACCATGAACTGTAAATGAATGTTTTCGTGGCATATTTCTATGATGATGAATACAACCGTTCTCTCCCTTGTATGCATATGGCTGGGCACAATTCCTACATCACTGAGTATAGGTTAATATATGAAATACCTTATAACAAACATTTTGTTATGCTAGAACAATTTTCAGTTTTTGATCATTTGAACAAGGATCGACCAGAAGTTTTCCTTGGTATTCATAAAGACAGAGTTCGAGGAGTAAGCTGACAGACAGTGTAGACAAGACTAAGGAAGACTACAACTGTTTAGGGGAAAATACAACTTCCAGTCAATTCTTGGACATATGTTTTCTGATAAAACATTTATACTACTTACAGCTTTCATTAATTCAGATTGGCCTTCCGATTACTCAGTTTTTCAATTTTTGGGTATTAAGTATATCTTATCCTTCCTCATTGTTTTATGAAATAATTTTGCATTCTGAGTAGAGAGAGATAACGTGGGTCAAGTTGGCAGAGCTGGTTACAGAAATTTTTCTAGCTTATACTTTATGGTCAAGAAGTTGTTACTCTTCTGTGTAGTTTTCAGGTGAGACTGGATTTGGAAGGAGGGGGATTAATTTGCATCCCACATATGAATTCCTCTAGGTAGCAAGGGAAATTCATCTACAGTTAGGCTTTTACTTTCTTAGACATTTATTTTAGTTACCCTGTGAGGTCATTCTGTCACAGGAAGAGGTAGAACACTAGGTGGATACACCTGAGACTGTCGAGTACACTTTTCAGCTGTGTCTTGAAAGTCTTCTAAGGGTTTCATGATTTCAGTTGGAGTAGGGAAATTAATCAGAATGGATTCCAATATTGCGGTAGAAAGGAGATTTAGTGAACAGGAGTAGAGCTTGAGTTTTATATAAGAATCTTTCTGATAGCTGAAATCACTTTTCTTGATTGTTTTTGTTATGGTCTTGCTTTGGGAATCAAAACTCCTACCCTCACGTAACCATGGATAGCACTTTATAAACACTGGCTTAATCACTAAAGGGCTAGATACCCAGAACCCGAAGAAGTTTTATAGTATAAAGGTAACATTAGAAATAGGGTATTTGTGTATAGAGAATTAATTTACAATTTCTTTGTTGTGTCCTTAGGTGAACCTGGGCATAAAAATCGAAACTTCAAGATCGTTAGTAATCGAAGATACGTGCGTGTGTTTTATTCGTTAAAAAGAAAGTATGGATGGCATACTGGTGCACGGCCATGTCCAAATGTGGAACTCAAAGACAGGAATGTCTAAGTCAAAAGGAGCCTTCATTGAAACAGTAGTAGGAAAGAATGTTAGACTGCAGCTCTATTTAAACAATGGAAAAGTTAAAACTCTACAGCTAAAGAATAATATCAAAAGTGTGGTCTTTAGAACCTATGAAGAAGACAAAAATTACATGCACTTAACTTTTAAAAATAATGATTTCTTGTTTATTGAGAAACTAGCCTCTGAAGATGCCAGAATGTTGAAGACATTCCTACACACCATTCATCACAATACCCTTCACCGATCCAGAAGAAGGTGTGTGAAGAGACATGATGCTCCTAGCACAGGCACACAGGAGTTCCATGACACTGCACTACAAAATGTTCATAAGAAAGCAAGCTCCAAACCAGTTCAAGAAAGTGAAACATCTGTGTCTCAGGAGATGCCTTTGTCTGCACCAAAATCACCCACAGTTCCTAGTGCAGAGTTATTAGAAGAGCAACCTGGGAAGAGGAAGAGAATCAAATCACCTCAGTTAGATAAGAAGGAAGATGAGGGGGTCCTGAAAGAAAGAAGTAAGGAATCTGAGGCAGAGCCCACAGTGTCTGTAAGGGAGAATGGAGACAAACGAGCAGAGTTAGCAAAGCCAGAAACCAGGAAGCCACCATTTGGGTTTTCAGTCCTGACTGGAGCTTCTGAATCACTTTCCTTTCATAATACTGGTCTCCAAGTTTTCATTGGGAATTTACTTTCAACATTTCTGTTGGGAACAGACTTTATTGACAAAGGTGTAGAGTGGTCTGATTATCTGAAGACTGTGTTACTGTGCCCAGATAAAACATGGCAAGGTCTCCCCAATGTGGGAAATACCTGTTATGTAAATGTAGTTTTACAATCACTATTTTCAGTCCCCCAGTTTGCCAATGATCTATTCAATCAGGGTTTTCCATGGATTAAACTACCCAGGGATGAATTTAACATGTGCTTGATGCAGATGCTTGTTCTGAAAGATTTTTATGAAGCAAAAATGAGGGAGACGTTTCTTACGGGCATTCAAAACGCCCTTCCAGCATTTGGAGACATATTTGCTGCTGACAGGCAGAATGATGCTCATGAGTTTTTAAGTCTCTGTTTAGTTCAATTGAAGGAGACCATTAAAAAATTAAACATAATTTGGCAATCTGAATGTGATTCTGGGGCAAACCGTTTATTTAAACAGATTTTTCTTGAAAGGGCTGCCAAGGAAGCACCTGTTTGTCCTGTTGCCAGCAATTTTGATTCTGAGTTGCTGAGCTCGATTTTTTGTAAAGCCTGTGGTGTGGCTATCATCAGGAAAGAGTCAAGTAGTTACCTCTCCATCAATATTCCTCAAAGAATGAGAGCACATACTTTGTCTATTCAATCCAGTTTTGATCATTTCTTTAAAACAGAAGAGCTTGAGCATACGTGTGAGAAGTGTCAGCACAACAGATCTGTTGTGGTGCACAAGTTCAGTAGATTACCCAGGGTCATAATTATTCATCTGAAGCGCTATATCTTTACTGAGTCACGGCTATTGAAGAAGGATGATCAGCAGGTCATTATTTCCAAATATTTAAACCTGGCTTCTCATTGCAATACAGACACAAAGCCACCCCATCCCCTTAGCAAAAATGCGCATGTTAAGGATACTGGGTTATTAAAACCCCTTGAAGAGCTGGGTTCTGAGATCAGATTGTCACTCTTTTCACTGATGATGGGTTCAAAACCCAAGCATTTCCCAACTCTAAACATTAGATCAAAACCACAAAATTTAAAGAGAGACTGTAAAGAATTGAGTGGAAAACAGCAGCAGTGTGACCTAGGAAAAGGGTCTACAGAGAATGTAAGACCATTAAGACAGACAAAAACAACGTGTGAGATTAGTTCGGGACATTTCAAGAAAAATGAAAAATGGTACACATTTAGAAAGTTCGATTCTGGTAGTGTCAGTGAGCCTACTAAAGGTCAAAGATTCAGAATTTCAGAACCATGTCAACTGGCCAAACAGGCTCTGAAATGTCAGGAGAAGACAAACAGTGAACAGATACTTCAACAGGCAATTACTCAAATCCATACAAATCGAGATGCCCAGAAGCAGACAGAGAATATCACAACACCTACAGACTCAGAGTCTCAGAGTGCTGACCCAAATAAAGAGAGTTCCCAGGATCCCAGTGAGAAGCCTGAAGACAAAGATGTTTCAGATAAGAAAAAATCTGAAGCCAAGGTAGAACCAAAAGCAACTGCTTGTGAGGAAGAACATATCTATAGGCTCATTGGTGTTATCAGCCATATTGGGAAAAGTCCCCATTCAGGCCACTATATCAGTGATTCCTTTGACTTCAAGAAACGGGACTGGTTCACCTACAGTGATCTACTGGTATCACGTATCAAAGAGGACTATATGCAGAAGACTAGGCTTTCCACTGGGTATGTCTTCTTCTACATGCATAATAAGATCTTTGAAGAGCTGTTGGCAAGGGAGGAGGAGGCTCAGTCTTTTATGGACTTTGAGGACAAATAAGAGGAACAGACTCTCTAAGCACAGACCTGTGTGATTGTATCAAGCACTTAAACTGAATAGTGATGGACAGATAATTAGCTAATTAGGACCAAAGTCTCAACAAATATTTACAAGGAAATCTTTGCAATCTTGACCCACATCAATCCCACAGTTATGGCTGATGCTAATAATAAGCATTCTTCTCTCATACAAGACTAGAACAGTGCTTTCTTGTTTTAAAGCAGTGATTTAAAAAAAAGTGTGACCTTCTGACCAACATCATCAAGAAGACGGGGACTCATGGGATATGTGGAACTGTGGGCTCTGCTGTAGACATACTAATCCCAAATTCAGGGCACAGGGCAGCAATCCAGTGGCAATTCTAATGTTTGATAAAGTCTAGGAGCCACTACTGCAGTGTGTAGCAGTAGTGTCTTTTGCTGTTATACATTTGAGTTGCTTGTTTTATAAAAGCTTTTTGTACCATTTTTCATTTCTTACTTTTATATATGCCTATGCAAACATAAAAATCAGTCTTGATGGCAGTGATTGGTTTTGTAAAAAAGTACTTGGATCAGGCCAACTGTATCCAACTAGATCCTGGCAATAAACATTAAATGAGGCTGATAAAATTATGAATCCCATTGCCATAAGTAGATAACATTGCACACCGAACAAGTCTCCAAATTGGCTACTAAAGTCCTCCTTTTCTGTAGTGGCAGAGGTGCTGGGTACTCTCAGACATTGGTCTTGAGGATGGAGAAGCTGATTTGTGCTCAAGAAATTGGCATGCTTTTCTGTCAGTCTGCAAGTCACCTGTGAGCTTTGGGTGATCTGTTCCCACTTCACCATTTTGATCTTCCTGGAAAGACACTTGTATCACATCAAAGGAATTTTGTTTACCGGGACTTTATCTGCAGAACATTGAACAGCTTTGTGTATTCATCATTAGAAGATTTCTTTTTTGTCTTTGTGCCTCACAGCATGGTATTCTGTTCAGTGGATACACAATCCTGCTTTAAAGTGGACTTTGTAAGACTTGACAATTGAACTTGAGTAACTGGATTTGATTCAATATGGAAAATCCTCTCTGGAGATGACCTAATGTCTTTGGAAAGCCACGTGGATTTTGGGCATGGTGATATTCTGTAAACACTAATCTAAACAGGGGTTTAATTATTGCCCCAGTGCTAAGCATGTGCTGTTTCTGTAATGTCTTTTCTTGCCTTTGACTCAGTGAGTTGTTAGTGCTTACACCTGTATTTAGTCAAACAGCTTGCACTAATAGATCTCACATACATACAGGAATTGGCTTTGAATCCCGCCTTTGTCAACATGTGTGGGGTATAGTTTCAGTATAGCTGTTTTAAGTCCTGGAATTTGACATTCTTAATCCTAGTGGCATGTAAAAGGAGTGAATTAGAATTTGATGTTGTACGGAAGTTGGATAATGCCCTTTAAGAGGAACTCAAGATTCCAAACTTTGGGATTCTCTTCCTTCGAATACAATATAGAATCTAGTAGGAGGTTTTAAATGGGACCTGAAGTTTGCTGAGGTATGTTGGTATTCAGTTGCTTTCATGAATAGAGCTGTTATAGACACAGTGAGGGATTATTCGACTTAACGTTGTTGAATAATCTGTTAACACTTGAACTTGAGGCAATTGAGGATAGTGTTGAACATTTCATTCATAGGAAGAGAGAGACAGTTGGGCCTCTAAATTCCAGATTTTGATCTTCTTTTGTTAATTCTGTGTCCAGTTCCATAGGGCTCAGAGCAGGAGTTTTAGTAAAAGTGAAGGAGTTTTTTTCTTTTTTTTTTGATTTATTACTTTTTATTTTACCTCTGTGATTAAGTATACCATGTGTATGCAGTGCCCTGGAGGCTAGAAGAGGGTATTGAAACTGGAGTTATGGACAGCTGTTAGGGTGGTAAGAACCAAACCTCCAGGGTCTTCAGCCAGAGCAGCCATATATCCAGTTTGGTTTTTTTTTTTTTTTTTTGGAGAGAGTGTCTCTCCTTGTAGCCTGGGCTAGGCTGGAGCTCCTTTTGCAAAACTTAGGTTGGCCTCGAAGTTGCAGAGATCCTCCTGCCTCTGCCTCTCAAGTGTTGAGTTTAAAGGCATGAACTACACCCAGAGAGATTAAGAGCTTTGTGGAAGCGCTTACAAATGTAGAGCAGGTTGAAAGGAGAAGAGAGTAGTAGTCTACTAAAGGAGGAATAAGGAAGAGGAAATCCTCACTTCACATCTAGTGGTTGTATGTTGCCTACATGTTATGTTGTTATTTCAAATAAAAGGTTAAAAAATATATCAGTGACTCAATTGTTATTTATTGTGGGTATAAATGGTTTTTCTAATTTGTGGATCATATTTCCAGGTAATCCCAGGAACAAAAACTGGGATACTCAAATTTTCTTTTCTATTGTATCTGTAACAGATTATGACACACACAATAGTATAAAACAACAGGCATTGCATTTTGTTACTTAACCATTTTAGAGAACAGGATTCCAAGCTGGGTATCAAAACGCTAAAGATAAGTTGTTAATGGAGCTGCAGTCTTTGATGTTCTGAGGATAGGATTTGTCTTTTCTGTCTTACAGAGACACATTCAGTGCCACTTGGTCCCTTTCCTGAATCTTCAAAGAAAATCTCCATGTTGGACTGAGTTCTTCACAGTGAAATGGCTGATTCTTTTTCTGCCTTCCTTTCCCCCCTTTAAGAACCACTGTAATGGGGCTGGAGAGATGGCTCAGCAGTTGAGAGCACTGACTGCTCTTGCAGAGGACCCAGGTTCGATTCCCAGCACCCACATGGTGACTACAAACTGTCCTTAACTCCAGTTCCAGGGGAATCCAAAGCCCTCTTCTGA